TACACCATTCCGCGGTATCTCAAGCTTCTCGGCAACCCACCTCTCAACACTCAGGCTGATATCGACCGTCACATCGCCAAGTTCCTGCGTCTACTCTCCGCCGCCATCGCGGACTGCGTCCCAACCGTCAAACGAAACCCTTTTCGCCCAAACACAGTAAAACGCACTGTGACTTCAGCCATGCAACGTGACATGGCATTAGAGCGCAGAGCTGCACGTGCCCTGTCACGCCTACGCCCAAGGGACAGGGGATACAAGAAGACGGAGCGTCGGTACGGAGCTCTCCGCCGAGCTGTCGAGTATGCCATTCGGACTCAAAATCGCAAGGGCTTTCGAGAGCACATTGCAGACACTTCAAAAGGATTGGATGTGTTTGACACCCTCAAGCAAGGTGTTCGTTGGGCAACCAAGACAGAGCCTGCTCACTCGCCACCCTTACAGAACCCCGACGGAACGTTGTGCGAGTCGGATGCGGAAAATGCAGCATGCTTCAGAGAGACTGTCTGGGGCCCGGCAACGAGCACAAATCCCTCTCCCTTGGAACGACCGGTCGAAGACCCTTCCAGACCGCAGCATTTTTCTCCACAACATCTTCGTCAAGGCGACCTCAAGTGGGCTCTAGAGGCCGCACCCACTGGCAAGGCATGCGGCCCTGATCAGGTTGCTTTCGACGTCTTCAAGAAGTGTCCACGTGTCTTTCACGCTCATTTGACGCGGATCATGAATGCGTGTCTCCGGCTGGAATACCACCCAGATGAATTTAAGCGGTCGATAACTGTCGTGCTACGGAAGCCCGACAGGACGGATTTCTCTCTTCCCAAGAGTTGGCGTCCTGTGGCGTTACTTTCGTGCTTGGGGAAGCTCCTGGAGAGGGTTGTTGCGGAGCGGATTCAGGAGCTTGCTGTGAAGCACAGACTGATTCCTCGGATGCAATTTGGATTTCCTGGACGCTGCACCACCAAGTGCATTGAGGCTCTTTTGTCCCCGGTCTACAGAGGCTTTTGCGTCAAGACCAGGAACAAAAAGAAGTGGAGATCGACACTCCTCAGTCTCGACATATCAGGCGCCTACGACCACGTCAATCGTCCCGAACTCCTTCGGATCCTGGTACGTAAGGGCATGCCCGATTGGATCGTCAATTTCATTTGGTCTTTCCTTTCTGACAGGAGGATAATGCTTCGGTTTCCCGGTTATGTCTCAGAGGAAGTTTTCGTTAACACTGGAATCCCTCAAGGCAGCCCCCTCTCTCCCATCCTCTTTGTCTTCTTCTCCGCCCCGATGCTAGAGAATTTCGAGCGCCTCCATCCCGATCTCAACGTCTTCGCCTTTTCCTACGTCGACGACTCTTATATCCTTGTCACATTCAGGACATTTAAGGAGAACTGCGAAATTCTCGAGATGTATCACGAGCAGGTGATGGAGTGGGCAACTCCCAATGGTATTCGGTTCGATCCTGGGAAGTACAAGGTGATGCACTTCACTCGAAACGAGAAATGCGACTTGTGCCCTGACATTTCTGGTCTCACTGTCAAACACGTCATCAACAACTCAGTCGACCCAGAGGCCCCGAAGCACCTTCGAATTCTTGGCGTCATGGTGGATCCGGCGTTGAAGTGGGATGCTCACATTGCCAACGTAAGTGACCTATCGCTTCTCAATCGTAACAATTGTCGGAGACTAACTATTTGGCTTTGAAGCTCGAGTCCAAAGTGAAGAAAAAGCTGGGTTTTCTGAAGCGGATCTCTAGCTCCGTCATGGGTCCTAACCTCATCGATACGCGAAGGCTGTATATCACGAGCGTGCGACCCATCATCACCTACGCCTGTGCTTGTTGGTTCGTTCTCGCCGATGGCAAGGGCCAGCAATTCCGAATCACAAAGAAGCTCATCGCGCGCCTGGATCGGCTTCAGCGCGAATGCCTTGTGAACATCTCTGGTGCCTACAACCAAGCGCCAGTCATGGTCCCGCAGAAGGAACTCAACATCGAGCCGATAGAAGTCGCGCTCCACCGGATCGCCATGGCCCATCGAGTCGGCAACACCAACACTCTGGAAGGGGAGAGGATGCTGAAGGTTGCGCGCCGTCCCTTTCACCGCATGCGGTCCTTTGCGTGCTTTGATCTACATCCATATTGGGTGGCATATCAACAGGCTGGGCTCGTTCGTGATGAGATTGTGCAACACTACGGGCTGGAACGTTCCGTTCGTCTGGGGCGAAACGTCGCAGGATGGTTCAATCAGTACCTTCGCCAACAGGGTCTTCTCAGGAGCGCCTATCTCTGGGCAGAGTTCGCTGAAGAGCATGCTCTCAAAGCGCCTCGAACATGCGGTCACGAGGCGGTGACTTACATGGGAGAATGGTGCACCAACATTATGAGCATTCACATGGGCAAGACCAGAGCTCAGTCAACCATCCTCATCCACATGAGGACTGGCCACAATGGTCTCAACTCGAATCTGTACTCCATTAACGTAAGTGAGCCCCCAAATCCCCCCTCGGTTGCATTGCTAACCACATTCTTGCAGAAAGCTGAGACCAACATGTGTCCCTGTGGCGAGGGCGAGCACACGGTGGAGCATCTCTTATTCGACTGTGTGAGCCTGGAGCGGCAGAGGAGGGAATTGTTACCCGCGGACTATGGCAAATGCGACGATGATCTGCGGCGGCTGAAGCTGAGGTATCTCCTCACGCAGTGCGCGGGGCCGGTTTCGGCATGGGCGTTGAAGCACTTTGAGCTTGAGCAGTTCTCGTGGACGAAGGAACATCTTCCGATCAGGACCAGGGCTTTTCCATTTTCGTCTGGGACGAGGCATCGTCGTGTATGATATTATTCCTTTTCAGATAGGACAATGAGCACCATGTTTCCCTGTAACCCTCCCCCACCCTGGGGTGTGAGTGGCCTATCATTTGTTTGAATTTCTTGTATTGGTAAGTTTCTACGCCAGTTGACGATGCGCTTGCTGACGATGTAGGTCTTGGTACACTGCTTTATCCCTCAACTCTGTGAGTATGCTGCTCTCCTTTCTATTTCTTGCACGCTCTTTTCCTTTCTTGCGCTGCTTCTTTTCTGGATTTCGTCTGCCGTTTCGCTCGCCGTCTTCCGCCTTCGCCCGCCGTATTTGTCGACCACCATCTACCTCCACCTGCCATCCTGGTCCAACACCTCGGCCTACCAACTTTGTCGACCACCACGTTCACTCTCATCTGCCATCCTTGGCCTTCATCTTCGTCCACCACCTTCGTCCACCACCACCACCACCACCACCACCTTCGTCTGCCATCCTCAACCACCATTTTCGTCGAACCTTATCCGCCGTCCTCATTCGACACAGTCTTCCGCCACCTTCCACGACTTTTGTCCACTGCCACCATCACCACCACCACCACCACCTTCGTCTGCCATCTCCGTCAACCATCTCCATCAACCGGCCTCATCCGACACCTTTGTCAACCGTTCAAACACGCCGTCTTCGTCGCCCACCTTCAACTTTCACCTCCGACCGCTGTCTTGCACTACGTCTGGCATCCTTTGTTCATCCGCACATGCACTCATGTTTCCTCTTCATTTTTCAATCTTGAATGAATGCCTCGTCGCTAACTTCTTGTGAGCATAGTCATCCTGCTCTCCTTACGCGATCTGAGCGATCGACACGGCCCTCAGCAGAGCGGCTCTGTAGGCAGCATATTCATCGTGAGTACACTGAAATCTACAACATATGGTGCTGTCTAACATGCTGAAGGCCCTGGAGAACCCTGGCGAGCTTGTGCTCCGTCTGATCCATCCCCCCCCTGTCGGCAATTCCTGTAGGCGCGGGAGAGAGCTTGCGTCTCCCAGCCTGTTAGCCGCAGCTCAGCCCGCCTCTGGAGGCCGGCGCCGAAGACGAATATGCGTGAGTACCTCACTGAATCAGTTGATTGTGTCTTTTGATAGCTGATATTGATTTCTCACAGCGATGGTATCCCTGGTGCTGAGCCTAGTGGTGCCTGCAAGGAACCCTTGCACTCCTCCCAACCGATGCCTTCGCATACCTTCAGCAGCCGCTGGAGGGTTGGCATACACGGCGCCCTCTGGGTCGAAGTTGGTAAGTGCACATTTCATCTACCTGAATGCGACAGTGTCTAATTATTTTCTAGTTGTTGAAGTTGTCAAGTTGTTGGTCTGCCATTGTGTTGTTTGATGGATGGAGAGTACTGGCTACTTACCTCACTGCTGCTCTCCTTATATAAGGCAAGGTTCCTGTAACCTTGGTGGCCGAGGCTGCCATGGTAAGTCCTGGTCCCTGTTCTTTCGGTTGAGTGCGATGTTGACTGACGTTCAGGCAGAGGAAAAGTTATTCGCACCTTGTTTACCTCGTCTTCGTCTCTCTAGAGACCTCTGTGTCTTCCAGTACTGAGTATAGTACTTCTGTGTTCACACCTTGGGTTATATCTATTAGGGTTGCTTGGTCCTTTTCCATATCTGTACCTTGCTGTATATTGTACTTCGGCTATAAATGTGATACTCCACATCAATCTTTTGGCCCCATGTGTGACTCCGTTGTTAGAGCGATGCTTATCTGACTTGTGTGGTTGACAGAAAAGGAGTGGCGGGAATGTTGGTGGTGGAGGAGCTGATTCTGTGGCGCTTGTATGTTGTGGCGATGGTCAGTGTCAGTGGGAACCTTGCTGGCTGGTGACCTGCTGTGGCTGAACTTGGTTTTGGCATAAATACCCTGCCCCTGCCCACTCCGCCTCCGCCATTCCGGTTTCGTCCAAGCTTCTGTCTTGTCTTTCCCCCCAGAAACACCACTCATGCACGCCTTTATCACAGCTGGCCTTACCTCAAGATGGATTGTCGTTTCAACCTCCTGCAACTCCCTTAGGAGTTGCGATAACTGATCTATCGCGCCTATTTGCTCGTCGATGGCGGGTACATCTGCGACGCTGAGGCGCTTTTCACGGGGAAGCTCCGGGGTGAGGCCAAGTGCAGGCTTACGCAAGCCGACGGAAAACCCATTGACATGGCTCTCGTTGTCACCTGCCGGGCTGTTGCGAAAGAAGTGCTTCACGGCGGGTTAGCCTTGCGCGTCAACACGGTGGCTTTCTCGACCTTCTATTCTGATGAGTTCCGCCAGCGCGGTGAAAGACTCCAAGCTTTCAGGAGCAAGGACGTGGACTGCAACATATTCAACATGATGAGGAACGTTGGCAGCTGCCTCCAAGGCCCAGTGTACGATGCACTCAAAAACGCCTACCCGGTTTTCATGCCTGTCGTGGAGCATTTGAGGGGCGGAAACCCGAACACGGACCTCGTGGCGCCTCCGGATTCGAATTACGGCCAGGCACCTTCGCTGTACCGGGAATTCGTTAGACTCGCCCTCCGGCTTGCGTGTCGCTACTATGTTGAGCAATTCAACGAGGCAATGAGCCAGGACTTCGCCATCCAGGAATCGCGTGGTCGGAGGTATGTGCCTGATTATCACAGCCTTGCTGCTTGCTCCATTGAGCCCTGGATTATCCCTACGGACGACGATATTGCACAAATCATGTCGTACAACGGGTGGCCAATTCCTTCGCCCGATGATGAGGACTTCGAAATCCATCTTCCAAGGTCAGATGACCGCTCAAAATACAGGTTCTCCGCCGCCGCGTCTGCTATCTATTTCCTGGATTCCTTACCATATCATAACCGGGCGCATCTACGTAACATAATTCTGAACGAGGACCGAGAAGCCGTATCGCAACCGGCATGCCATGTTCAAGGCCTCATTCCGTTCTGCAAGGAGAACCCTCTGCTACGGATTGAACGGAGATGCAGCTTGTGGGGTAATGTCTTTCGCCCAGATTGGTTATCCGGCGACCCCGACTCTAGGGTCGATCCGGAATGGGTACCAGACCCAAAGCTGAGGTCAAACCAGGTTTCTCGAAACGTAGCCACGTGGATTATGGAGGCGTTGGCCCTGGAGCACCACGGCATGCCCCACGGCGCGTTTTCCCTTCTTCTCGACGGCGGCCCGGCACCGCAGCTGTGCGAGGAGATATTCCAGACCGTCGTCCAGCGGGACGTGGCGTGGCAGCTCGCCAGGGACGAGTCCCGCCGGCGCGGCTACCTCCCGGCCCGGACGTGGATAGAGAGGAACGGAGAACACCCGTGGCGATGGTCCTCCTACTTCAGACCCGCCGAGTCCGACCTTGGATATATGTACGAAGGGTTCCCGCGGGCCATGAGAGACGTTGCGGAGAAGAAGTCGGTCGTGCGTTGCAACTTCGACGTGGGCGTGCCATGGGACGTGGAGCGGATCGTCGAGGAGCGCCGCGGCCGCGGCGAGCAGGAGTGGAACGAGGACTGGTTCGCGCACGACCCGCTTAGCTGGGAGACCGTGCCGCCTCTCCCCAGTTGGACCGACTGTCTGCGGGAGGACGTCCTGCGTCCTGACGAGAATCCTCCGGCAAGAAGAGATAGTTTCGACGAGTGGGTCGCGAGGTGGGACGAAAGTTCGGGCTCGGACGACGACTGGGCTTTGTGAGCAATGGGCGGGACAGGAGCTCGGACTGCGAAGTACCGCTGATCTAGTTGTGTTTGTGCCAACAAAGCAAGAGCATGCGAGCAATCTTTGGGAAAAGAAACTCAGACAGGATGTAGATGCGACATCGTCAACCAGCCGATCGGACGGTCAGCCCCTCGATCCTTCGCGACTTCGCAAGACGGGTGGATTTCTGGAGGCGCAAATTTGGACGACATTACGGTGGGAGGAATTTGTGTCCCATCTTCTCCCGGAGTGCTTTCTCCCATTTGTCTGTTGATTTCGTTTTATTTTTGTTTCTTTTGTCTTGCGCTGGAAAGTCAGTCCCAGTAAGTGCCGCAATTTTTGTTAACAGTCAAGGTAGCAATACAAAGTCGTCGCAGTCCTGAACCGATTTTCTTATCTCGAGGAGAGCTTCGTTTCTCGCGGTGGAACACTCATTAACCTCGTCAATGTAAGGAACTCTTCTTGCTTCTTGCCACTAATGTTTCGTGCTAATCGCATCCACAACTTCGAGGATGGAGCGGTGATGGTAGTTTCGGAAGCGCTTGTTGGCTTCAATGGTCTTTTTTCTTCGGTTCCGAGGAGTAAGTCCAGTCGCCCTTTGCAAACGTGACTTGAATCACGGCCTGTAAGTGGATGCGCGATGACATTTAGGAGAATCTGATGATGGTGGCCCGTCCTTGCTGGGTGATTGGCAGTAATAGGACTCAGAAGGGTCTGCGGGCTTGAAGAGGCGGGCACGTCTGACCACCTTTGGCTTGGATCTTTACCAGACTCCATACATGGGCGGTGCATTTGGAGCCAGATTACGCATCATTCCCAGGCTCGATGTGGTGGCGTCCCAGAAAATGGCCTCATGTGCAAAAGCATGGCTTTTTGGCCGCTACAGACGCTGCAGCCACATCTGTTTGGGTTTGCTTACCTGCCTGTGCATGACGTAGAATATACAATGTGGTAGTGAATGTGTTACCTGACCTGTCTTCAAATTGCCATTCTTGTGTGTCCAACAACGCGCTCAGCTGTTTTGGTACAAGACGTACCGTTCCTAGTGTCCTCGCAAGGTTGACACGTTGTAGCTCGAGATTCAGTTTCTGGGACTGGTTGCTCACACCTTCACTGCGGGAGGGATTTTCAATCGATTGTGGCAGTTCGGTCTAATACCACGTAACTGCGGGCTGATCAGAGTTTTCCTGTGTCGATGCAACCTGTTTGGCTTACCTTTTGCATTGCAGCGTGTATGCGGAGCCTAGAGGTTCCCTTGACTGTTTCGTCATGCCTGCGAGGTGAAAGACAACTGTTTCGGCTCCAAGCGGTGACTTGTTGTTCGTCAAATTGACATGGTGAAAGCGTTTTCAGCGCACTGCTGAGGTGAGGTACATGATGGCGCTGATACCTTTGGTTTCTTCTGGAACTTTTCTGGGCCGTTTAGATGAGCTTGAGACTAAGATTGATACGAACTGTTTCGGACAAAATTGCAATCAGCTTCTTTCAACAGGATTTTGATTTGCCTTGAACACTTGTCACCCGCCCGTCGAAACCCCTGCATGTTTGAGGCAGTCTACCGGATGGGCAGTTAATGGCATAACTCATCCCAAGACGGACACGGTCTAAAAGAATGGAGTTTGCTGCCCATATTGATACTTAAGTGCAAGCTTTCGACCTTCATTTGCAGGACTACACAGGGTATGGGTAAATTTGCAACTCAGGCGTTCGAGAAAGTCTGTTTCTCATCGAAGCCAAATGCTGTCTGCACCCCTTCATTCCTTGTTGTTGGTTGGTGCTTACACATCATTCATGATCGAGGTAGCTGTTTCTGTCGTTGTCCTTCTGATATCATTTTATGAGGTCGTCGTTGGATCGTGATAGTGACTCTCACCCGAGCCATTTGCGCCGAGACCGAAGGAAGATGCAAGCTATCGATGAAATTTGTCAGCAGGATCCCTTAATTTGTCCAAAGTGCTTGTTGGCGATGCAGCTAGCCGAAGGCCATTGTTACTGTGACTAGTCATTCTCGTTATCGAGGAACGACTATGGATGGTGGCGCTTCTTCTACCTTGGGACAGGAGCAAACAAGGACTTTGAAGAAACCCAGACGACTATCCAGCATGTCTCAGCAGATTGTCGAATCTTCGCAAAAGATTTGGAGTAGGAGATAATCTGGCAGTCGTTCAATGCCCCGGTGCCGGGCTTGATGTCATCGTAGTTTGCTGCTTCCCCCTGCGCCGTGAACTGTTCCCTGTTCACCTTGACGACAGATCTCGACAGTCGGACGCGTAAAAGACGAGTTCAAGGTTCTATTTTGAGAGATGATTGCCCGCGAATCACTGAAAATCGAATCACTGAAAAATCTAATTCTCAGTTAAACACGATATGTTGTAGAACTTGCCCTACTTTTGCGGATTTCGCATTCCGGCACCCCTTGACGTCAGCTAACCGGCCGAAGAGCCGAGGGAGTTCTTGGCTTCCAACTGAAGCTAATGCATCTCAGTGGAGTCTCCTGCTGTTCCAGACCTCCTGATAAGCTTGACGACTTCCCAACCCTACACATCCGCTCCAAATCAGGATTGCAGCCTACGACAGCAGCTCCCTGTATCCACGCCGGTTCGTCCACCTTCCCCTCACCCCACCAACTCTCTCTCCTCTCATCCTCACACCACCAACTCAAAAACACCCATCTCACCACCCTCACCCGCCTCCAAACATGCTCGACACCCCAACGCACATCGTCACCCTCGAGAAGAAATGGGGCTATCACGCCGCCAACGGGTACGAGCTGAACAACAACACATGGGGCAGCGCCGCCGCAACCTCGGGCTCGCAGCGCACGCACTACGACGGCCCCACGGCGCCAAGCAGCCCCACGGGATCCGTGGGAATCGCGTGGTCCACGGACTGGGAGTGGCGCGGCGGCGAGAACAGCGTCAAGTCGTACGTCTACGGCGCGCGGCAGTTCCGGCGCCGGCTGGTGAGCGAGGTCGCTGCGCTCCCGACGGAGGTGGAGTGGCGGTATAACACGTGGGATGTCCGCGCCAACGTCGCGTTTGACATTTTCACCGATCCGGATGTGGAGCATGCGAATAGTAGCGGGGAGTACGAGGTTATGATATGGTAGGTTCTGCGCGTGCTTTTGGGGCCAGGCGGCTGATGGGACGGTGGTGTAGGTTGGCGAGGCTGGGCGGCGTGTGGCCCATCAGCGAGTCCAAGGCGCCGATTGCGCAGGTGGAGATTGAGGGCCATCGGTGGGAGGTGCATTTTGGGTATAATCATGGTGGGAAGATGAAGGTGTTTAGCTTTTTGCCAGTGGATGGGCCGATTCAGAGCTTCCGCGCGGATGTGAAGCGGTTTTTTGATTATCTGGTTGCTGAGCATCAGTTTCCGGCTTATAACCAATACATGCTCGGTAAGCAGTGCACTTTGAGTGAGTTTCACGGGAGAGCTGACGGTTTGCAGTGTTCCAGCTGGGTACGGAGGCGTTTACGGGAGGTCCCGCGGAGTTTGTGGTTCCTAAGTTCATTGCCGATGTCCAGTGAGGCTCGTCTCGATCGTCAAAAGGCTTTGTAACGCTGGGACGTGGAAATTCTACAGCGATGAATGACATTCTTCTAGGTCTAATCTAATATCTTACACTAATAGTACAATATCCAGCACATAATCTGAAGAGAGGAGATGGTCCAACATCATCCCCGGGTATCACGCAACACAGTGGTCCACGCCCGCCGTCAACAACAGCTTCGCATACTGCTGATGCAAAGCGACGACAACTCCCATCAGGGCTCCCTTGCCATTGCTAACTCGGTCAATCATCATCGACTTGATCTTGAATCTGACGACCCGCTTATGAGGATCAAGCTCCGTGACGAGCGTGATGAACGTGTCCATCTCACGTGGACCCTCCTCCCTAGGCGACACACCGCCACGGAACATGAGGGTGTTGGACGACTTGTCGATGACGATGAAGTCGTCCGCCAGTATCGTACCTGTCATGGTCAGCAGGTCTGGTATATGAGGCTGAAGCATCAGACGTACCGATGGGGTAAGTGCTCTTCAGCAATTCCTCCTTCTCCCAAATGTCACTCGCGTTAGACTCATTCTTCCTCGCCCTCTCCATGAGTTTCCGCTGTACAGTAAAAGCTACATCAACTTAGCATTACATCTTGTCAATTTCCGTCATTCTCTAACTCACCGTACCGCCCCCAGACACCCGCCGCATACGTCTCCACCAGCTTCGACCCCCCGCTCAACGCGTCCTCCAGCAACCCAGGACGAACATTCTCATACGCCACCTCGCGGACGAAGCAGTCGTGGAACCCGCCATTGTTGTCCGGATTCACCTTCTTCAGGAACGGGTGCTGGAACAGGCTGTCCGTCGCTGGCGAGAACGACTCGTCGAGGCAGCATTGGCGGGTCCAAAAGTGGAAACCCGACGGGACCGCAACGGCTGTGGCGGCGGCGAACTTGGAGAAGGCAAGTAACCTTGCCCGGGTGAAGATTGAAGCCATCATGGGATCTTACGTCGGAAGCGACTTTTTGGTGATTTTCTGGTCACAAAGAATGTCATTAACGAAGAAAACAGCTGGCATGAAATTTTGGCTCTGTTGACATGGGTCCTTGGGCCTAAGGACGGAGTTCACAAGTTGGCATATTCTCCGTTTCCCTCCGTGCCTTGGCGGAGCCGCACGTGACCCGAAAAATTGAAGTAGCGCTCGACAGTGATAGAGGCGTCTTCCATCGTCGAGTCCGAAAGCCGAGACGCGAGATTCCCTGCCAAGCGGGCCGGTTTTTCCATCCTCACTAAAGACGGGTGAAAAGTGGGAATGGCATCCGGCGGGAGGACTTGCTCGGTAGTCCGTGGGCTCCGAGCCGGCTTGGCTGGGCATTGTCTCAGCAATGAATTGTTGTCAGATTAAAGTTATTGTGAGCAAATGGACTAAGCTGCAGGTGCATTGGATGTCTGAGCCGCAAGATGTTCATTGACGCACCCACGGAAGGACTTGGTCAATCTTTGAAGGGACCTTTTTGACAGACGAAATACAAACACACATGTCTTGCAATTCCTGCAGGAAACTAGCGTCGAAGTGAGTTAAGTCCTTTTTGAGATTGATTATTATTGAAGCAATGTGAATCAACTTGAATATCGCGGTGGTGAAAGGTCACAGAGACGGTCCACAAGATCGCACCGGTCTCAACAAACTAGGAAGGCAATCAATCCACCGCAAGCTTAGGCGCCTACAAACTTTGCGGTCGAATGCTGCATCGGTCATAGTCTCAAGCTTCTTCATTTCACACTATGAAGATTAAATGTAGCCGGCGGGAACCGATGACTTCCACAAGGTGGAATGAACAACAAACTCACCGAACATCGTCGTATTCAACATAGCTCTAACCAGCATCATCAACCGCCACGGACAGCAGGTCACAGGGCGTCTCCGCATTACGATTATGAGTGAGAGGAAGTCGGTTTGACTTCTCATTCACAGAAGCTTGTATTTGTGGTAGCGTGCGAAGTCCAGGTGAGTATTAATCGAGCCTTGGAGCCGAATCTGAGACTGTGAACCCGACTTAACAGTACGAAGTTGAAGTCTCACAATCATGTGGACAAGCTTGCAACTAACTTGTGTGATTCAAACTAGGATTTGTGTGAGACGCTTGCTAACTTTTGTGGCGTTATTGCTTCTGTGGCTACTTTTATGGCACTGGCTTCATCGGGCTTTTCATTCAACTTTATTTTTTTCAATTCCGAGGTCCTCTTGCGAAAGACATTGTGTGAATCAATTCAATGTCAATCAAACTTTCACATTAAACATGGTCAAAGTTACATCAACTAGTACTATTTTCATCTCAGTCAGAGAGCTAGAACATATCTAACATGAAACCCACCATTGTACCTCCCACCACAACCACTCACTCAAGAGTTTTAAGCCACACCTCCACCGGATCACCCCCGCCCTCCAAAACATCAGTCTTATGCTTCACTCCATAAAGATACGGCTTCTCATCCGCATAGCACGCAGTCTCCGCCTCCTTCGGCAAATCCCCCGTCATAATGTACCGCCTTGCAATCGCCTCCGTGCACTTCGACGTGTCCCTCGACGAGTGCCCGTAGCCATGGTGCGCCACCAGCCTCGCATTGCGCCCCATCTCCTTCAGCAACCTCCGCCCGTTGCGCAGCGGCGTCGCCGGATCATACGCCTCTGCGATCAGCAGCACCGGGTGGCGCAGCGTGTGGTTCAAATCGCCGCGGTACACGCCCGCGGGCTCGGGCCAGTACGTGCCAAAGTGCCGGCACGGAAACACGTTGAAGAAGCGCGAGTTGCCCGAGACCCACGACTTGGCCGTCATGTTGGCCCACAGCGACGCCCACCAGTCGAGCCCGTCGGCGGGCTGCGGCGCGTCCCACGAGTCGGCGCAGATTACCAGCGTGCCGAGCTCGTCGGACGACGCGGGCTGCGGGTGCGTGGCCGGCAGCGTCGGGTCGTACTCCCACGCGGAGCGCTCGAGGGCGCGCGCGGCGAGGGTGGCGTTGCCCTGCTCGAGCTCGGCGAGCATCTGCGCGAGCGCGGGCCAGCCCTGCGCGTTGTAGAGGGAGCGGTAGATGGCGCCGACGAGGCCGGAGTAGGTGACGAGCGAGGGCCCGCTGGTGTTGGTGTAGCCCATGACGGGCCTGTCGATGAGCGAGTTGACGAGGGCGAGCATGCGCGACTCGAGGTCGTCGAGGGCGACGGGGTAGCCGTCGATCTCGCGGGCCAGCGCGCAGTGGTTGGGCCCGGCGTTGAGGCACTCGCCGAGGAAGCCGTCGTGCCAGGCGTTGGTGGCGTTGTCGAGGGCGGTCCAGCCGAAGCCGCCGAGCAGGCGGTGGTCGCGGACGTACTCGGTACCGTCGAGGATCATGCGGCCGACGCTGTGGGGGAAGATGTTGGCGTAGGTCTGGCCGATGCCGGTGCCGTAGCTGACGAGGTAGCCGGTGAGCTCGCGCTCGCCGAGGGCCTTGCGGATCTGCTCCATGTCGCGGGCGACGAAGGTGGTGCTGAGGAAGCGGGGGACGTCGCCGTGCTTCTGGAAGCAGGCGTTCATGGTGGCGTTGTTCATGGCGTCGGCGAGGTTGAGCTGGCGCTTGGGGTCGGAGACCTCGAGGTACTGGCCGGTGAGGAGGGACCAGTGGTCGCGGTCGACGTCGTAGGGGAAGCAGGAGATGGAGGGGTGCGTGGTGTTGACGCCGCGGGGGTCCCAGCCGAGCACGTCGAAGGTGCCGTTGCTGAAGCGCTTGGAGACGCGTTCGGCGGCCGACCAGGCGTAGGATGTGCCGCTGCCGCCGGGGCCGCCGGGCTCGATTACGATGGTGCGTTTGCTCTTGGTGCCTGGGACGGGGTTTTTGTCTGCGTCGAGGGGTTCTCTGATGCGGGCGAGGCCGGAGACTTGGTACTTGGTCACGGCCAGCCGGACGATGCGAGTGTCGGAGTCATTGGTGTAGTCGAGAGGCACGTCGAGGTATCCGCATAGGTAGATGCCGCGGCCTGCGTAGGGATTGCGGAACTCCTCGGTGGACGTGGTTTTGTTGCCCCAGCTCCAGTGAGACGGACGAGGGTCAAAGAGCGCCTCCCAAGTGTCCTCGGGATGCGGGTCGCTGAGGGGAGGCGGGAGAGATGTATTGGTGCAAGGGATGAACCTGAACGGGTCATCGGGCATGGGGAACCGGCCGTACGGAGACCCTCTGAGATGGACGACTGAGGCGAAGTCATGATGGTGCTCGGGGTGCCTCCAAGACTTGAGATCCTGCTTGTGGAGGTACCAGCTCGCAGCGCCCAGCAAAGCGATGGCGCCGCCGGCTATCAGCCACTTTCCGATGGCTGAGCGGTTGTGTCGCCGGACCGGCTGCACGCTCGCATATGCTTGCTTCTTCTCCATGTTGAGTGCCGTTCCATGCAGATTCGATGTCTGAGCCCAACAATCGCCCCTCAATGGCGGATTGACTGATTATAAGTACAAAATAAATAAGACCTAAGCTCGACGCGATGGCTGCAGCGGTGACGAGGAAAACGCGTTTGAGACGACGTCGCTCGCTGAGGGGTTTCGCAAGCCTCGCCGTCTTCGCGATCTCTGGTTGGCTCGGCTCGTTGCAAGCTGTAACGACCGGCTTATGTCAGCTTCGGCCGGCCGAGTCGGGCTTAGCTCCCGGGAAGTGTGGGGATCCTTGGTTCCGATTTGCCGTTGCGGAGCCCGCTTAGGTCTCCGGGCACTGAGTTGTGAGGAATTTGACGCGGGTTCGTCTGTCGATGGTGTAAGCTTCGGCCAAAATTCATCCGCAATAATTCTTGGTCTGTCGATACGTTCCAGAGCTCGAATGCGTCTGGGCAGGCGGGCAGCGCGCTGCGAATTCCGGAATTCAGGTGCTTCATCCGCCATGTCAGAATGCCTTCTTGACCGGCTTGAACCTCTGTCGGGTGGGGGCCGGAGAGGGTCTCCGATCTATCGGCCGAGAGATGGACATGAGCCGGACGGCTTTCGATGTGGACCGGCGATTAATTTATCGTGGACCCGCTTGCTAGAGGTCCACCGCTACACGTGAGCTCAAACCGATCAGCGCCGGTCCTATTTCAGGTCTGGACCGGAGCAGACAAACCTTGAAAAGTTCTGTGGTTCTCGGAAAACGTCCCTGTAAAGGTCTATCAAATAGCATCTCTGAGTTGCAGGTTGCACATTCATGAAGGTCCTCGTATCACCGTCACTATCAATCAGTCAATCTCAAACGCTGCACAAGTAGCGGCTTAAGCACCCACAAGTTGTGTGTGGCTAGGCACAAGAGGTAGAAGATTGAACTCTACGCATGCAAGCAATATGAGCGTCGAGAACCATATTCCAGGAACTTGCCCATCGAGACTTTGAAGAAAGCTGCCGAATTGAGAAGACCTGGCCCTCCCTCATCTTAACCAGGCAATACAAACAGTGGAAAGTCTTCGGAACCGCCGTGCCCAATCATCCCATCGCAAATTCATTCGCCACAATATCCCCAAAGAGATCTCTCCCATCAAGGCAATTACCATCCTCGAACGCAAGCCCGTTCAAAGTCTTCCAAGAAATGATCAACCCCATCACGTGTAGTCCCATCGCGAGTCAACCGAATCCCCCAAGGCTTGGCAAAATCCGCCCACCCTCCGGCGCTAGCCGCCCCAAAAGTCGCCGTCGAAGCCGGAACAACGGCATTCGCTCACAAACTCAAAATAACAATACTCCAAGCTTCACAGTCCGTGCAACACAGACCGATCATCGTTCTCGTTCAATGCCAAGAACTGCATCACGGCAACGCGGCCGGCACCTCCATCTGTTTTTTTCTCAAAAAGTCGACAAGTGACACAGATTGGCGCCCCCGTGGGATCCAGCCGTCAGGTACGCAAATCTCCGAAGCGGCTCGTCACTTTTTTTTTTTTTCGTCTCCTCTTCGCAGTGCCAAGGAAATTCCAACGAGATGCACGCACAAAGGTTTGGCCAAACCCCAACGCCAAGACCGCCACCGTGGCCGAGCCGGGTCATCGCCAGGCCCGACTTTTCGCAGAAGGGAGGAAGAAGAGAACAGTCATGCGTCGGCGTGAGACGGAAAAGTCTTGGCTCTTTTTTTTTTTTTTTTTTCGTGTGTCTTGTCCGCTGGCGTTGGCGTTTGTTTGCCAATGGTCTTGGCATAGGGCGCAACGCGTGTACCTGCGACCGATGAGACTCGCAGATGGCAGTGAGGCGGAAAGCGCAGTCTCGCCCAGAGAACACAAAAGTGTCACCGCCTAGTGCCCAAATCTTTCTCGTGAGATGTCCTGAGGGGACGTGTTGTCACACATCGCGACGGGTGCGCTGCACACGCAGACCCCCCCAAGAAAGCCCAAGAGCAAATTAGCGAGATTTTTCCTCGGCGCCAATCTTTGCCCAGAACGATCGCGCTTGGTAATGTCAGACCTCCCGCAAAAGCTCAAGGGAATTTTCTGCAGATGTTAAACCTCAGACAATGACTCTCTATCGCCCTGGCGCCCAGGCACGAAGTCGACGTGAAAAAAAATGCAGAAATTGTCACCGAAATCTCGATGAAATTCGTCATGGGGAATAGGCCGGCTGGTGGGCGCCTGTCGATCAGTCACGGCCGTCTGTGGTCCTCGCCGGCAGCCGCTTGGCGCGCCAAGATTATTTGCGCTGATCTCGGGGTCTTGGGTCTTGGGTCTTGGGGGAAGGCGTCAGAGAGCAGAGTAGAGCACAGCTGGGGAGCATGATTGCGATGGACCCTGAAGGTCTGTACTCACGGCAGTGTGGTGTCTTGGCGCAGAGTCAGCTCTGATGGTTGGTGTCGACGGCCTCGTCTTGCTTCTTCGAGCAACGGGCGCTGCGACTGCGACGGCTCGTTCAGGGTGCAGAACCTACGAAGACAACGGGGATCTTGATCTGGAGCGACATGAGTCTGCCGCGGCACAGCCAGTCTCGAACGCTCTGCGCGAGAAAGCACCCTTTCGCAACGTTGCCGCAAACAGGGGCGTGTCTCGGCACTTTCCCACCGTCTGCATCGTGGTAGACTGCGGACGGTTGCAGTTGGCGTCTTGCAGCGAAGCAGATAATCACCCATCATGATCGGGTTGAAGGGAGAAAGCACCCAGGTCCAATCACCCGCTGCCCAGACAACACGGCGCCGTTTGCACTACAAGACACACTACCACCACCACGACCGTGAATGCGCATCCCGACTCTTGGCCAGGCGATAACCAAGATGGCCAATTTCCTTTTCCCGTCACCCAAGAAGTCTAAAGAGCAGATTAGTTCGCGATACGTCACATCATCAGGTTGGAAGCTGAGGTATGCCGAGCAGCGCCAGACACCACACATTACGGATGCCAATACCAATGCCTCTGTCCAAGACGCCCCAGAATTCCACCGCAGTCTCGTCCCTGGCGCAGATGCCGCCGAAACGGCACCGCATTTAGGTACACGCGCAGGCCCAGATACAGCTGTAAAACGCCCCCAAGAAAAGCCCAGGCTGCCCGCATGTCGCCGTCCTCACCGTTCCCTCTCGGCGGCGGGTGTCGTGATTGCGCAACAGCAGGTAGAGTGCCAATGGGCGTTGCGCTGGCGTGTGTCTGTCCTCCCCATGTCGCCGGGCTGGCCTGCCCTGGGCTTGGCTGCAACACCTCCCAAGAGTGGCCTATTTCTTGTGCGCTTCATGCTAAGGCTCGGCTGTCTTGTGCCAGGTAGAGGACTATCAGTGTGGTACATTCAGTGCCCAGCCCAGCACAGGATGGCCCAAGGGAAGATAAACCTTTCCTCGGTCTTGGCTTACATGCCTCTCTCACACCAGACGCACCTTTCATCTGTAGCACACGCACTGAACAGAGAGGACCAGCACAGCGCCAAGCAAAAGCACATCCCCCCAAATGAAAATACGTAAAACCCTCCTCGCCCCATCTCCCCTCCCTCCCCCTAGGTAGGTACCAGAAAAGCCAAGGCGGCCCTCAGTGGCCCCTTTCGGAGTCAGTGACCTGATAGCGCGACTTGGCGGGAAACCGCAGCGAGACCCGCGTTGCTGCTAAAAATTTCCGCCCAGCGACTTGGCTCTTGCTGCTGTGTTTTTTTTTTTATTTGTAGTACTGACTGTCCTTTGCCTGTTCTTCCTTTTGGACGGCTCCGGTTTCTTGGTTTTCTCTTGGGAGTGAAATGGTTCGGGCGTGATCAGAGCTTTTTCGCTCGGCGTCTCTGGGCTTTTTTTTCTTGGGATTTCCAATTTGGATAATTCAAAAGGTCGACGAGTGCCACATTCCATTTCTTCCCTTGACGACTCATCGCAACGCAACGCAAAGGCCCGACGTCATGTGGGATTGATTCATTTTGAAGCCCCCATCTCAATCACAGCATCACCGAAGCTACCCCCCCGGCATCATCACCACCACAGCACATCAGCATATGGATTTACAGACGACATCCACGACCCATTGAGTTCGCACAACCAGAAGGAGGAACATAATCACCAGAGAAGACACAGAAAGAATCCGCAGAGATCAAACCCCACAAGAAAGGAAAACCACAAACAAAATGTCCCTCCACGCCAGCGCCTACAGCCAGCCCGGCTACTCCGCCCCGCCCTACTCCGAGTCCGGCTACCACCACCCGCCCGGCGGCCAGATCTACTACTCCTCCCCCGCCGCCTGCCACCCACCCGACACGGCCTCGTCGACGCACAGCTCGCAGCAGCGCTACTGGTACGGCCAGCACCCCTCCTGCGCGCCGCTGCCGCCGTCCCCCGAGTCCGACCGCTTCAACCGCAAGCGCCGGCGGTGCACCTACATGTACTACGTCCTGCGCCAGCTCGCCATCGTCGTGCCGCTGGTCGTCGTCTTCCTCAACATCAACATCTACGTCTCGCGGCGGGGCAAGTACCTCAACGACGACACGAGCCCGAGCGATCCCATCTTTTATGCCATGTGGTTATCTGTGCCGTTGGTATGTTCTCCTCTCCTATCCTCACATCTCGTGTGTGCTGTAAGCGCAGAAAGCTGACCGCCGCGCCGCAGTCTGTCCTGATGATGCTCTGGTCCTTCACGACCGTCATCTTCCGCAAGCGCGCCGAGCACCAGCGCGGCGGCATCCCGAAGCACGTCCACTTCGGCATGGAGCTGTGCTTCTCGCTCGGCGCGACCATCTGCTGGATCCTGCTGGTCATCCAGATCGAGTCCAAGAAGAGCAACGCCTTCTATGCGTACCCGTACATGCGGTACGAGGCGGCGCTGGCGTTTCTGCTGGGGCTGATCATGTGAGTTCTTGTTTGAGCTGGGGATGAGATGAGATGAGAAACTGACGGATGGCAGGTTATCGGAGTACGGCCTCCTCTTCCGCGCATGGTTCGAGTTCAGCAACGACAGGACGCGGCTCGAAGATCAGGCCGCCATGGTGCAGGTCTGAGTCTATGCATCTGTTCATTCAGGCAATTTGTGCATGCGAGTGCGGCATGCATGTGGGAAATATGTGTGTACGAGTATGGGAAAACAGCGATTTCAGCATGGCGTTAGGGACGGAGAGAACCGGACGAGAGACGGATCACCAACTCATTGTTCTGGTCGATTGCATCATTTCTGTTATTTTGGAGAGAAAACCGACACGAGATACCCCAATAAGCGTAAAAGATACCATTTAATCAACATTGTCTATTTCACAACTCGGTCTCTTGAGTAGCGACTTATGCCACAGCCACCTCATCTCAAGCAGGCATCCCGGGAAGCTCTAGACGAGGAAAGAGAAAAACACCCCTTCAATTGCACCATTTCGCTATTTTGATGAGAAAAGAGACACCCAGCACAAAACCACCGTTTAACCAACCAACCCATCCATCCATCCTCAGCTCCCCCTCCGGCGCCTCCAACCAGCCCACCCCCACCCCCCCAACAACCCCCCCGCAAACACCACCGCCCCGAAGAGCGCCGTGACCGCGTACACCCCAAACGGCCCCAACGCCCCCATCCCAGGCGGCGCCCGCAACTTAAACCCGTCCTCCGCCGCGGGCATCCCCCCCAACACCGTCGCCGTCGCCGCGCCCTGCCCCTCCTCGGTAGTCACACCCGCCGGCACGTCCGCGCACCGCTCCGCATCGCACCACACCGTCGTCGGCGCCCCGTGCATCTCCGTATCAGACCGCGGATCGTCCGCCGCGTACGCCACCCCCGCCAGGCGTATCTCGGCGCGCGAGGCGGGGACGGCGTGGCCTGTTACTTCGCCCTGCACTGTCGTCGTAACCCGGGGGTAGGCAAGGATTTTCGGGGCCGTGAGGGACGCGATGCAAGCTGCTTCTCTGCATCCATACTCCAGCACTCTGTCCTAATCAGTAATCCGTGAGAAAGGGGAGGGGGAGGGGGGAAGGTACGTCGGACAGCAGAGCACACCCACCACCGCCGTCTCCCACCGCTCCGTGGCCGTCAGGGGCGTGAGGCTGTTATCCCACCCGGTGCTCCAGCTCACGCTCGGCTGGGTGTGCGAGGCCACGCCGTCCGTGGTGCTGCAGGCGGGGGAGAAGCCCGCGGGGCAGCCGTCCCAGTGCCATGCGCGCAGGGCGGCGCACGCGTCGGAGGGGGTGGTGGTGGTTTGCGGGGCGATGCTGCATTCCGGCGGCGGGGTGACGCGGGCGGAGGACATGGTGAAGCGGGTGGTGGTGGGTTAAGGTGAAGCTGTATCCATGGCTGGGGAGGCTGCTTTTTGGGGTTGATGCGGGTGAGTGTAGGGAAGGTAGGTCACTGGACTAGTTGATTTTAGGCGCGTCTGCGACCCTGCGGCCCGGCGTTCCGTGTGCGTGGTGAGCTGGGTCTGTACATTTCAACAACCACCTCACTGTGAGGCATCTCATGAAATGATGAGTGAGTGTGAAATGACATGAGATGAGCCACGAGTCATGAATCTCAGTGACCTAAACCCCCAACATCGATGAGATCACACAATACACCACAGGCATATCTGTATTACATAATCCGGTGAGGCCCGGTGAGCGGCATTCCAGATCACCGAGAACGAGAACAAGCTTCGGTGAGGCCCCACTCCCTCCCGCGGAGACCCAGATCGGGAAAAGCCGCTGACGAGAAGTGGATCTCCTATGAGCGTTGATTGGTCGCTTGGTCTCCGTCGATGGATCCGATTTGCTCATGGCCGTCTCAGGCGCGTCACAGTCGCCGCTGGGCCAATCGCAGATGGAAATCTCCCGCGATTCCCGACCCGGCCGAAGCCCGTCGTCGCTGGCTGTCGCTGTCGGATTCCCCATCAAAGAGCGCCCCCCCCAAAGGGCACCACCACACTCACCACCCAAGAAAGACCCCGCCGTCGTCACTGGTCCTCGATCCGACCAAACGTTGCATCCAGCCCGATCTCGCCCTGCTATCTTTAATTTTTTTTGTGTCTGTCCGTTGCATAATCTGGACCCAACAAGAGGAGGCAGAGGCGACCACCTAACAAAAAAAATCTCCACTCTCTCAGTCAACTTTCTTCCGTCCCGCAATTGAACCAGAAGCAAGCGAGCGAGCAGATTAGCCTCATCAGCCTCACCCAGCAGCCTCCCTCCCGCCGCAAGCCCCCCCCCCTCAACCCTCTGAAGCGGGCAGAGAGCGAGAGAGAGAGAACGTCTCAATAATGATCAGCCATGTCGACGAGAGCCATTAAGAAGAGCGCCTTCTCGTGCGAGCCGTGTCGCCGGCGCAAGGTACGTCTTTGCCTTTCCCTTTTTATCTCCGATGCCTTTTTTTCCTGCTGCTGTTTCACCACTTCCCCTTGCGCTGTTGCTTTTCCGCTTTCCCGCCTCCGCCACCGGCACCCGTACGTACCCCTGCACCACCACTGCCGGCCCAGCACGCGGCTGCTGCGATGCCAGGCCGCCCGTCGAATGATCACCATCTCGGTCGTGAAAGACTGCATCCATGGTCGGCCGGGCGGTCCGGTGGTGCGTGGTTCGATGTGGTGGTGCGGCGGCGTTGGCGGGGGTGGGACGGACGTCATCATCGAAAACCCAATCTCCGGACACGGCGTCGGACGCGGGGGGCTGACCGGAACCGGGATGACAGGTAAAATGCGGCGGCGAGCAGCCGACGTGCAACAGATGCGCCGCACGCGCGGATGAGTGCGTCTACAAACTGTGAGACAACCCACAACCCGTCGACGCCCTCCCTTACCCCTCACCCACTGTGCAGCCTAACTGACCAACCAAGCAACCCGACGCTGTCGTACACATCGCGCCTCGAGCAGCGCATCAAGGACCTCGAGGCCCAGCTGGCCGCCGCCAGGGTCCACGCCCCGGGCCCCTCGGAGCCGTCGCGGACCTCGTCCCCCAGCCTGGGCCCGTCCGCGGGCCAGTCGCCCATGACGGATCCGCATCACGTCGAGTCGCAGGATGAGGAGTCTGTGAGTGAGAGCTTCAAGGGGCTAAAAGTCGACGACAAGGGCGGCATCACGTATCACGGTGCTACGAGCTTCTTTCAGCTGCCGAGCGATCGCCCGCTCGGTTCAAGAGATCACACGTCGTCGTCGGAGCAGGCCATCCAGCGGCGGGAGAGGCTCGTCGCCAATGCTTGGCAGCAGAGGGCTCTCGAGAACATGTCCGAGATACCGGTGAGTTTCTTACCGTATGACTGGTATGCGTCACCAAGACTGACGGCCTGCACAGGAACCATTTGGATACCTGCTCAACGTACATTGGTGCTGGATCCAGCCGCTTTTCAACTTCATCTACAGGCCCGCCTTCACTCGTGAGTGCATCTCGTGTGAGTTTGCTGCTGTCATGCTGACCCCCGCCAGGTGATATGCAGACCATGGGGCCCTACTACTCTCATACGTTGATGAATGCAGTATTATCTCACTCCATCCGCTGGGGCAGGAGTGATCCCGCCACCAAGGAGAAGCTCGAAGAGTTCTACGACGGCGGTGCCCTCTTTGGCAAACACGCCCGGAGCATGGTCTTCGAGGAGCTCAGTCAGGGCGTTTGCTCAATCCCTACCGTTCAGACGCTGCTGCTGCTGAGCGCGCAGGAGTGCAGTGTCGGGAACAGCGCCCAGGCATGGACATATAGTGGTCTTGCGTTCCGCATCATCGACCATCTCGGCATCTGCGTCGACGGCCAGAGGTATCCGGGCTCGGTCCAATTAGCCGACGAGGACGTCGAGATCCGGCATCGCCTCTTCTGGAGCTGCTACTTCTGGGACAAAATGATTAGTCTGTACCTCGGCCGCTCGCCTTCGCTGCAGCAGACGTCGGTGTCTCCGCCACAGATTATATGTAGGTCAGCCTCCTGTCGTGTTTGTTCCCAAGCTAACACCACCAGTTGATGATTCCGCCGAGAATGAGTCCTGGACCCCCTTTGGCGTCGTCCCGGAAGGCGGCTGGAAGTACCCTCCCTCGGCTGCCCACTCCACCTCTTGCTTTACGCAAATGTGCCGTCTCTCGGTCATCTTCAACGAGATCCTCGTGCACATGTATGACCCGGTTCGTCCCAACAGCCAGGCCGAGATGCAAGAGTGCCTGGCCAAGCAAGAGCCCGCCCTCCGCCAGTGGTGGGATGAGCTGCCTCCTCACCTGAAAATGGAATCCACGGCGCTCCCGGCTCTCGCGCCACCGTCCCATATCATTACCTTGAAGTAAGCAATCATTTGCGGATCACAAAACTCTGGCTGACGCATCCCAGCGCACTTTACCGCACGTTCAAGATCCTCCTCTACCGGCCGATGCTCTCCCAGCGCGGGCGCGTCGGCGAAAATCTCCAACCGGTGCAACGATACCTCGTCGAGTGCGTGACGACCGCGACCTCCATCATCGCCATCTTCGACCTCTTCTGCCGCTCCTTTGGCATCGGCCACTGCGTCCTTTCCCTCTCATACAGCGTTTACATTGCCGCGTCCATCTTCCTCCTGCAGGTCCAGTCGAGCGTGGAAGATACGCAGGCGCTCCGCCGGCTGGAGTACTGCGTCCGCATCCTGGCGTCCGTGAAGCGCATCAACCCAGGTGAGTCTCCACACCTCGTCTCCACTCCCATCAGTGTCAATGACGTCGCTGACCCCTCTGGAAAAAGTCATCAGCAGCGCCCTCAACCTCATTACCCGCGAACTCGCCAGCCTCGGCATTGATGTTGGCGCCCTCGGCCTCTCAAAAACAGCCGCCACGCCCCCTATGGCGACCTACGGCATTCCGCAGGCCAGAGAGCCTGGCGTGCCGCCGGTCTCCGTTCCGCCGGGTCCAGAGGCGACCAGCTCACCGGAGCAGCTGTACAACTTCCCGTTCGTCGATACGCTCGGTCCGGAGGCGTTCGCGATCGACCCGCAAGTGTTCCAGAATATGTCGGCGATAGAGCCGTTGAGCGTCCGGGTTGGCGCGATAGAAGAGTAAAATCATGCCCTCGAAACGTTTCCGGCGTAGTGGGGACCTCGAAGGGCGCATTTAAAATCGCCCGCCGTATCGCCAATCTGAAACGGCCCGTTTGCATTGTTCGAATGGGCTAGTTCCTTGACCATGACTTTTGAGGGTACTGTTCCAACAGTCACCAGACCACGACCAAGGAAGTCAATATGGTGACAAGACTTTCTGGGACAATTTATCTTGTAGTGCTGGAGACGCCGCCAGACAGAGAGCAGCATCTAGTTGCGACAGCTTGCATCCTCATTTTGATGTTAAGAATCTTCGTCGAGGCATACCTGTAAACAGTGTCAGCACATACGTTCAAAATTATAGACCAAACAATTATCAAGAAACAAATACCGCAGGCTTCACCGGGAAAGGCACATTCTGCTCCCGATTAACATCCCGCCACCCCAACGTGTCGAACATCGAGAATTGAATCGCTGGTGCCGTGTGAGTTCCGGAATCAAGGACAAAGCCGGCAACTGATAAATTTCCTCGTGGATGCGTTCCCAGCAGTCTGATCGAGTCTCGTACTGGCCGGGGTTATCTATTATCGTGTATGAAAGACGAAGAAGCAAATAATTGTTTTGGCTGCATCGGAGGTAGGTCTGGATGCCTGCACATGCCGACTCTACCGCAATTCAGAGACAGAGTGTCGGCTTCGCAAACAATGGGATATTTTGCCAGAGAGACGATGGGTGTCAGGATTGCTGTTCTTCGAACTTGGATTTCCGTCGAGTTTCTGCGAGCATCCGTTAGAAAAGTATCAATAGCATTGCCAAAAAACGAATCAGGCTTGTATCAAAGAAAGAAAAGAAAAATAAGGCACCAAGCAGCACGTGTGATGCGTTGTCGTACGTTGCTATTTTCAGCAAGAAAAAGAGACATGGATCCTGAGACTTTGCAAAATTACTTACACTGACCGGCGTTTCTGAAACCCCCGCAACACCAGCCCGCCGGGTTCTTACTCAAGACACCGGAACCCAGGCTTGTGAATGATTCGGCCCGGCTGATCCGAACCTCTTTTTGGACGCAGATGATGGGCTGATCTGACACCTGGGAATTCTCAACCTCGGTGTTTGTCGGTTAAGATAGCCGTGGAGTTCAGGGACCCGATTTCTTCGAAATGAGGCGCGTCATCAGCTTGTGAGAAACCAGCTGACGTTTCTGCCGCGGGGTTATCATGTACGTGCTACCTGCGAAGAGGGAACACAATTGGGGCCGGAGGTTCTCGTGATGACTTTCCTCCACCACCGCGGAGGTCAAGAGGGCCGCAAGCACCGGAGTATGGCCGTCTGGGCCGTTTAGGCGACGGTGGCTGATCCACTCGGCCATGTTCCGAGAAATCTTGGGGCTTCGGTGTCTGGCTCTCGCATGCTGCGTGGGGGGTCTGAGGACTTGGTTCTTTTCGTTTTTCCTCTCGCGAAAACCATGGTTATGATGAGCTTATTCGGCCATCTTCCGCGCATGCAAATGTCTGGATAAGCTTTTTTTTCTTGCTGGCATCCGTGGGTTTTTTTCAGGCGGTGTTTGACTTGGGACTGATGAGCGGGCTGGGCCGCTCGGCGGACGTGCGTGGCGGCGCTGTGGTCTGGGATATTTCTTGGATCCTCCACTGTAATGACCGTTTATTTTAGCGGCGGTCTCGCCTCCTCGCTTCTTCGGTGATCAGATCAACGGCGCGCGTCGCAAGCGTTTTTCCCTCTCCAGGTTTTTCTGCGCACCCGCCCGTCGGAAGTTGACCGAGGCTCAACCGTCGATGATGAAGATGCCGCGAGGCGCGAGGTTGAGGGGAAAACGGAGGGAAAGTCTGGATTTCTTGGGAAATCTGGGGGCACTAGCGCGTATATGCGAGATGGGCGTCCGGAGGTTACACGCCACCCCCTTCCTGATTGCCATTTCTTCCCAGTCTCGCAGCGAACGGGACACGTGCCGATATGGGGCGCCTGTTTGGGGCCAGTCTCGGGGTATCTTTGGCGGCGGAGGACCGAAGTTCCGCAAGCGTAGGCCGGGGTGGTGTTTGGTCCATGTTGATATTGGCAGAATGGTGACTGGCTCGGCGGTGGTGGTGAGCGGGTTGCGTTCTGCGTTCGTCTGGCTTGTGACGGCGCGAGCGTGGATGATTACGTGCGATGAGCTGGCGTGGGATCCATTGCAGATGTCACGGCCAGGGTCCGAGGAAGGGTGGTTGACGAGGTTCGGGAGGGGGATCCGATCCCGATGGACCTGGGGGAGGTGAATCCATGCCCACGATGGGGGAGGGCCTTGGATGTTGCAGATTTTTGAGTAATTTTGAGTGGTTTCTGCCAAGACTGGAGATGCGATGGCAGGACGAATATGGAATGATTTTCGCGGGAAGTTGTCCGGAGACTTTTGGCGTCCCCGCGTTCAATTTTTTCCCTTCGTCTATTCTGCGCGTCTCGCTGTAAGTTTCGCTGGGTTTACACATGCAAAAAGCGCAGGGAAGAAAACCGTTCGCGAGGATCGTGAAGTGGGGACATGGTTCTGCGCCGACGCCCGTTGGCGGATACTCGTTTCCGGGCTGGGGGTAGGTTGAATGTGGCTCCGGGTCACCGGCATCCTCACGGTGGATGGCCGAGGTTGTTGATCTGATGCGGACTTGGACCGAGGCGGCGAGCATGGCGAGATGGTGGTCCAACTTGGGTGTAAACTTTAATGTGTTGCAGGGTGAGATATGGACGATGGCCGAGCTTGTTGAGGATGGAGATGCGGATGGGAGTGGGAGATGGGAGATTGTGGTTGCGGGTGTAGTTCGGAGGTGTCGTTGATGGATGAACGGAAGGAGACGCGGAATGGCTTGCCAGACTTTGGCAGGCACGGGGCTGGATGCCTGCTCTTCCTGTATAATTGTGCTGAACAAGTTCTTATGTAATCCCAAGCTTGCCCCTTTGGCTCAGTGGTAGAGCGTCTCACTCGTACGTCTGCGAATCATGAGAAGGTCCACGGTTCAATCCCGTGAGGGGGCAACTATTTTGCTAAATTGAGTAAACTTTTGCCGTTGTAGTATGTTTTTTTTCGTCTTACGCTCGTTCCACTTAGACAACTTTCTTATTAGGTTTGAATATGCTCCTGTTAAGTTTGTCTAGGTGCCTGCCTATCTGCAACAACCTAAATAACATTAGTGATAGGCTGGCCCTAAGTAATTAACTAACATTAGACTTAGTGTTCACTTATAAGAGCAACTCGGCGCATATAGGATTAATGAACTATGGAAAATGTCTTTGACTCGGCTCCGACTTGTGTGCATTTGCTAATTACATCTCATTAAACCCTACAACCATGTTCAAACTCAACACACCTTGAATCTCACAAACTGAGCAGCGTCCTCGGCATACTTCAACCCATAATTCTCATGCGCCTCCCAGCTGGTCCCTTGCGCGCATGCAGGATCATTATCGTTACAATAGTCCCTCAGCCGCGCAGACCACCGATCAAGCGACTCCAGCTGCGCGCCCTCCCTGGGGAAGCCCTGCATCGCCGTCGTGTCAGTCTTTATCCCTCCATTCCCGGGTTTGAATCCAAAACTCACCGATTGCATCCGCGCCCCGACCAGCAAGTTGTACGTCTGGTTCGCAACGTGCCGCGGCGAGCCCCAGATAAGAGCAGCAGCAACTATTCCGCAGATCAGTCTCCACCAGCATATACATTCATCCGGCAGGCACTGCCACTTCGCTTCGCACTCACCGTGATCCCCAGGAAACGCGTCCGGCGCCATCCCCTCGCTGCCCTCCTGCGTGCAGTTCTGGCTCCTGAACGTCCCGCCCCCGCCGCCGAGCACGTCCCCGACGACCTGCCCGCCCTGCGAGAAGCCGGACAGCACGATCTTCGAGCCCGGGCAGCGCGTGGCGTACTCGGTGACCGCGCTGCGCGTGTTGGCGATCCCGCCCTCGACGGAGTCGCAGTAGTCGTGGAAAACGGCCTGGTACTCGACGCTGGCCCACGTGCAGTCCCAGCCGGCGCAGATGGCCTCGGCGATGGGCTGCTGCAGGCCTGGGTACGGCTCGTTGGTGCCGCGGAGGAGGAGGACGTGGACGGCGGCGCAGGGGGTGAGGGGGCAGAGGGGGGACTGGGGGGCGACGGAGGCGGGGAGGAGGGCGAGGGGGAGGAGGGTTGTGGGACGCATGTTTGGAGCGGTGTTTTGGCGGGAGGGGGAGGGATGCCGAGATTAGGGTGAGACGGAGGGGATGAGATGTGCTGCGAGTCGTTTCTCGATTTCTTCGTTGAAACAAGACTTGGAGTTGTGTTCTTATGGGAATCGGCATTACTGCTATTCTCTCTGTTTGGCAGCCGAATATCCCCAGATTCGACGTCAGAAGCAGCAATCTTTCTCCGCAAACCCCAGGTTTTCCATCCCGGTCTTCACGTGGAGTGAATCCCATCCCGTCGTCAAAACCAAAAAGAAACGCCCAAAACAAGCTTGTTTCCCGCCGTGAAGTCGCTGGAGTTGTCATCCAGAGGCTATTCTTTCCTGATTCGTCCAGGCCTCGGAACTCGGAGGGCAACACCTCGCGGAACTCGGACAGGTGCTCTGTCAGAAAAAGCTGGGGGAGGTTGCAGCCACACCGCACGCGCACCGGCGTCTTGTCTCGGCAGATGGGCGCCAGCCAGTTGGGACCTGGGGATTTCTGACCGTCCGGGCTGTCAGTCACCGTTCCCCCCCGTGGGACTCTCAGTGTGGGGTAACCGGCGTTTTTGTTGCAAAATGGGGAATTTGTCCGTGGAGTTTTTTCTTGGTGAGGGCAACGTCCCAAGACCGCAGAGTCGGTGTCGACTGCGCCTGGGATTTCCCAACATGGACGGACTGGACACACCAAAACCACCCTTTGAACATAATAGGCATGTCAACTGATGAGCTACATTAAATCAAACGAGGCGAATATTCCCCAAAAGACAGACTGCTCTATCGAACCCCTCAACCCTCCAAACACCGCAAAACCCGCCTTATCCCCCGCTACATCCCCCCAACATTAACCACATACCCCCTCTTCCCCAGCACCTCCACCAACCCGTCCCAAACCCGCGCCTGCACCCGGCGCCCGGCCTCATCCTTAGCCCACGCGGGCACCTCCATCACCTCCATCTCCGCCAGAAACGCCCCGTGGCTGGCCTCCCCGGCCGTCACGCCGTGCAGCAGCTTCCGGCTCCCCTGCTCCGCGCTGATCCCGTACCCGACGCGCATCACGCCAATGTACGCCCGGAAGAACCACGGCATGTTGCGCGCGAGGTCCGTCGCGCAGATGCCCGGGTCGAGCACGTTGATCACCACGCCCGTCTCGGACACGGGGAGGAGGGCGGCGAGGTGGCGGACCATGTAGACCTGCATCAGCTTCGAGAGGGGGTATCTAAAGCGTGTTAATTTTGAGGTTGATCAAATAATGCAAACACCACGTACCGATGCGCCCCCAGGCCCGTCTTCCGCTGCTCCTCCCGACTCAGACTCTCAAACAAATTCCCCTCCACGGCATCCAACCCGCCGCCCTTGGTGAAAAACGCAGTCCCGCTCGAGACAACGCTCAAACACGTCCTCACCCCAAACCTCCCCGCCGTCTCCCGCAGCTTCGGCAGCGCCCGCACCGCAAGCAGCCCGTTGCCAACCACATTCACGCCCACCATCGTCTCCAACCCGTCACCCGTCTTCGCAAACTCGTCCAGCGCCACACTAGCATTCGCAACCAGCCCATCAAGCCGGTCCAGCTCGCCCAAACGTGTGCAAAAGGCTTCGACGGAGGCTAGAGACGCGAGATCGAGTTCCCACACCTCGCCGGCGTCAGGCTGGTTAGTGTGCGCGCGGATGGCGGCGAGCGCGGCTGCGCCTTTGGAGGGCGAGCGGACTGCGAGGATGACGCGCGCGGCGTGGAGGAGGATGAGGTGCTGCGCGCAGTGGTAGCCGAGGCCGGTGTTGCTTCCGGTGACGATGTAAGTGCCCCCGGCGATGGAGGAGGCGGGGGGCAGGGGGAGCTCGGCGCAGCTGCGGAAGAAGGATGGGAGTGTCATTTTTGTGCTATTTCTTTTGGAGGTTCAATTAGATATCAGTAGAGTTTTGGGAAATGAGATGATAGGTCTTGGCGGGGAGTTGGTAGTGTAAAGTTTATTGCGACGTTTGGTGCTGGCTTTTTGATGCTCTATTACATTGCATCAACACTATCTCTATTTATACAATTTCTCCTTCGCTCGCAGTGATGCCAATACATGCCAGCTGCGTCCCTATCTTGGCGAAGTTCATGGAGTTTACGGAGGCGGACCATCAACGGTATTTCTATCATTTCCATTCCCCGGCCAAACGTCGTTGCTGAAACCCGGCCACACAACGCGGATTTCACTTGTTGCAGTGGTTGGTCACTTTACATAGGGCTTAGCAGGAAGAGTGCTTGGGCCAATGGTTTGTTGTCGTTTCCCGTCTTTTCTTGACCGGGTTTTGGTGCTCCGGAATCCCGCGCAACTAAACTCCGCAATGGCCGGCTTTTTACAACACCAAAGTTCCAATAACACACAAATACCATAAGCTCAAAGTAACATCATCAGGCAATGTAGGTGTGCAAGTCGTAATCGTATTAGAATATTCTATTCTTTAGGTCATGAGTCATTCGTCGTCCTCGACGCAATTGTTGCTTTGGTCTTGGAAAGAAAGTCATCCAAGATGCACGAATGCATCCGCAGCGCTATGCTAGAAAGGAACCGCTCCAAATCAAACACCAGTGCCATCGTTGAAGTTCATCACCTCGCATGCCGGGTATTCCACAACTCCTCCGCGTTGCCCCTAAACAGCCTGTCCACCAGCACATCATCCTTATCACACCAGTCCAGCACCGTCTCCATCCACGGCCTGATATCCAGCCCCTCAAACCGCGTATGCGGCCAGTCCGTCGCAAAAATCACCCTGTCCCTCCCCCGCAGCCGCAGCACCTCGCGCGCAATCGGCTCGAGGTCGCTGTGGTCCGCCATGCTGCTCAGCCGGTACGGCGCCGAGAGCTTGACGTACGTGCTCCCCGCCTTGAGCAGCCTCGCCAGCGCCCGGAACCCTCGCATCGAGTACGGGTCGCGCGCAGGCATGTCCTGGACGCTGGGGTGGCCGAGGTGGTCGATGCACACGCGCACGCCGAGGCGCGGCACCACCGGCTCGAGGAGCGGGATCATCGACATGGGCATGTACACCTGGATCACCCAGTCGAGCGGGCGGCAGTCGTCCGCGTAGCTGAGTAGCAACTCCTCGAGCTGGGCGGCGGTGAGGGATTTGCCGACGGATGACAAGTTGATGCGGACGCCGCGCACGCCGAGGCGGTGCCACTCTTTGAGTGTGCTCTGCGGGACGGATCCGGGCTCGAAGGCGACGACGGCGCGGCCGCGGCGGGGGCCAAGGGCGCGCAGGGCGTCGAGGAGGCAGGTGTTGTCTGTGCTGTAGATGGAGGGCTGGACGAGGACGATGTTGTCGATGCCGACGGAGGACTCGAAGGCGAGGGCGTGGTCGAGGCGGTGCGTCGCGGGGCAGTAGACGGCGTCCTGTGCCAAGGGATATGCGGCCGGGTCGACGACGTGCATGTGGGAGTCCCACGCGCCGCGGGGGATCCGCTCCGGGAGGGTCAGGCGGCGGCGGGCGGGTGTGAGGAGTGTTGGTATCACTTTGTCGTTCCTCGACGAGGAGGAGGAAGGGTTGATTAGGGGTTGGAGGAGGGCCATGATGGTTCGTAGGTGGTGGTAGAGGTGAGAGTGTGCGTTGAGGATGCGCCTCTGGATCATGGTGAGGGCGGCTGCTCTTTGTGTAAGAGCGGAGGGGAGGGTCCTATCAGTGGGAGATGAGGAGGAGGAGAAGGGAAGGGCGGGGGGAGAGTGATAGAGTCGAGGCTCGGGCTTGAAGCCGATTTGATGGTGAGGAGTGTCTAGGGAAGCAGCGGTGGTGGTATTGGTGGTGGTGGTGGTGGAATAAGGGCGCTTGCTGGAAAGGCATGGAAGGGATGAATCCTTCTCCTCGCGAGAACAAACTGGCGACTGGACCGAAGACGAGGAGAACGACGACGACGACAGGAGGAGAAGCCCGGGGTTTCGGTGATCCGCAGGCACTGGCTGCTGCGTCTGCGTCTGCTGGTGGTATCCGTACTGCTGCAACGACTGCGGACGATGGCGATGACGGCGGCGGTGCGCCTGCACATATGGACGTCGGCCCATTGCGGTTGCTGAGAATCCGCCGACTGTCCGGGTTGTTGAGTGGATCATCTGAGTTGCAGCCGCATATCACTCGACGAGGGCAGGCGTATCCGTAAGAAGGTTTTCCTGATCATGTAGGGGCGAGCCCGCAGTTTCTCGGACAGTCTCCAGCAGGACGATGCGAGGAGCAAGGCAGGCGAGGCAAGGCCAGACACGCCAGTGGGAGCGATAGTGGAGGTGGTTGAGGGCCAAACTGCAAAACTAAAACCTTGAGGTGTCGTCGACAAGCCACCAGACGGGAGAGGTGAGGTGCAGGTTTCTGGTTTTGGAGGAGATCTGATCCTCGGTGGGCGGTGTCGCCTCGGAGGATGACCGACGTGTTTCTCGACCAGAGTCCAGAGCCTAGTGAAAAGAGTGCGAGTGGTGTTGAGTGTCAATGCCCATTGGTTTGGGTGTGTATTGGGTTTTGCGCGCAATTGCTGTGTGTAGAAACTACGGATACACACATTACACGCATATCCATCCGAACATGGGCTTCAACTATTTTGAGAAGTGGTTCCGTCCTCCAGGAACATGGCCGACGGGCGTGCATCTGCATCGGCCAGTGCGAGGTCCATTGTCCATTGCATGGATTGACGGGGTCGGGGCATTGCAACAGCGGGCGGGCGGCAGCGGTTCCAGGCGTCTCTACAGGCGCGTTTGTGAGGGCAGCACCGCTGAGCAGAGACAAACAGGGCAGAAATTCTCTCTCTCTGCTTTTTTTTCCCTTTCCTGACGTCGCCACGAGTCATTGCGGGCCGCATGCTGTGGGCGGCCGTCCTGCCGGAAGTTGACCGAGCTGGGTGAGCTGTGAGATGAGATTGAGCGAGTGAAAGAGAGAGTGAGTGAACACAGTACTTGCTGCAGATACAAGTGACTTCAGGCTGCATTATGTAAGATGCACATGTACGTACTGACCACGTGCCTTAGGCAAGTGCCTTAGATAAGCAGAGAGAGAACCTTGAGGGAACAGAAAAGCCCAGACCACCTCTGTCTTCCGGAAGCCGGCCGGGAATACTGCGGGATGCTAAAGTATCCCCCACTGTGTTTAGCGTGGAAGCTACTTCTCGTCCCTTGCGTTAGTCACCCCCCCCCCCCGCCGCGGCACTTCCATTGGATCATTGGATCGGTGATGTGACGGCAATGGCACTGGATGAACGCAACTCCCGAGTGGGGGGCAGCACCTCACCTCAGCATCATTACTAAGGTTTACATTCTCTCCTCACACTGTTGAGGTGCAGCCTCTCTGCCTCCAGCCTGCCGGTATCTTTTCCCCCCTTCACAGTTCGTTCGGTCAACGTCCGATGTTTTGCACCCCCCTTCATCCCCCACCCCGCCCTGCACGAGATCCTCCTCCGCGCGCGATCGTCCACTGAACGAAATCGTGGGGTTGGGCCTCCTCCTCTGGAACCACCAGGGCCCAAAATCCGGAGAAGAGGCAAGCGAGAGGCGCTGCTGCGGCGGCCTGCATCCATCCATCAACCTACCCCGTGGAGGATTTGTGCAACCCCGCGATTGCTGCTGCTGCTGTTGCCGCTGCGGTTGAGAAGCAGAGAGAAGACGACGACGGCAGGAAAAGAGTGAGGCGACGGGGGAGGCGACGTGGTGTGATTGCGTGTCGGAAATAGGGGGCGAACACAGACACTTGGACAAAAAAAACTTTTTTTCTTCTCTCTTCATTTCATCTCAATCCAGCATTTGAACAACTCAATTGCTGCAAACCCACGCCGCGCTCCCCTTTTCTGGCGCCCGCAACCGCGTTCGAACGAGAGCCGTCTCCCCCGGCCCAGATCTTCTGTCTCTGAGAAGTCTTACCCCGGGAAAATGGTCGAATTCAACGCCTACTATCTGCTGACTATTGTTGTTATCGCGTGCGGGTCTATCCCCAAGGGTGAGTCTGCCCCCTCCGTCCCCTCTGCCCCCCAGCCCATTGTGCGGTCAGGTCGGGTCACCGCATACGCGACCGTGATCTGTCACCTTCTCCACCGCAAACCCTTCTCCTCCTCCGTTCGCGGTGTGCATGTCCATGTGTGAGTGAGTGTGCTGATGGGTCCAACAACACAGGCTACGATGAGGGTGGCTTCAGTGCGTCCACAGGCCTGACCTCCTTCAAGGAGGACTTCGGCCTCGTGTCGAGTCTGTGGAAGGGTAACGAGTCTGGCCTCGCCGACCGCAAGGCCAACATCTCGTCGTTTGGCGTCCTCGGCGCTGCCTTTGGCTCCATCATCGCCCTCGCCCTCAACGACAGGCTCGGCCGCCTGCGCTCATGGCAGGTCTTCATCGCCGTGTGGATGACGGGCGTCCTGATGCAGGTCTTCTCCTCCGGCATCCTCGGCCTCATGCTCTTCGCCCGTATCTGGGGCGGCCTCGGCGCCGGCGGTCTCACCGTCGTCGCGCCGCTCTACCTGTCAGAGATCGCGCCGGCCAAGTCGCGCGGCATGGTCGTTAGCATCTACATGGTCGTTCTGCTATCGTTCCTGACTATTGGTGAGCCTAAATCCCCCATCCATCAACGCTCGGGACTTGCCCGGGCCCTCGGCGAACATCCGACTGACCGGCTCCCGCGCCAGGTTTCTTCATCAACTACGCCGCCAACGCGACGCTAGCGGCCACTAGGATGCAGTACCGCCTCGTCATCGCGATCCCCCTCATCCCCGTCGGCCTGGCCTTCGCCGCCTCCTTCTTCCTCGCCGACACCCCGCGCTGGCTCGCCTCCCGGGACCGCGGCGAAGAGGCCCTCGCCGTGCTCGCCAAGCTCCGCCACTCGGACCGCTCCGACCCGGCCCTGTCCCTCGAGTTCGACGAGATCCACGAGCAGCTCCGCTCCCGCCAGCAGATCCTCGCCGACACCTCCACCCTCGCCCTCGTCAAGGAGATCGCCACCGTACCCACCTACCGCACCCGCTTCCTCCTCGGCGCCGTCATGCAGACCGTCGCCCAGTGGTCCGGCGGCAACGGCATCACCTACTACATCCCCGAGATCTTCCGCTACGCCGGCGTCGTCGGCGACAACACCTCCCTCATCACCAGTGGCGCCTACGGCGCCGTCAAGCTCGTCTTCACCATGGTCTTCACCTGGGGCCTCGTCGACGTCTTCGGCCGCCGCCGCTGCTTCATCACCGGCCTCGCCCTGCAGTGCGTCACCCACGTCTACATGGCCGTCTACATGGGCATCTGGATCGACGGCACCAACAAGCCCGCCTCCGACGCCGCCATCGCCTCCGTGTTCGTGTACGCCGTCGGCTGGTCCATCGGCCTGTGCACCGTGCAGTACCTCTACGGCACCGAGATCTACCCCACCCGCATCCGCAGCGTGTGCTACGCGACCAACATGTCGCTGCACTGGTTCTTCCAGTTCGCCGTCGTGCGGACCACGCCCAACATGTTCGTCAGTCTCGACGTGTGGGGCGCCTACGTCTTCTGGGCGTGCGTGTGCGCCGTCGGGCTGGTCGTGCTGGGGCTGTGGGCGCCCGAGACGAAGGGCATCCCGATGGAGCGCATGGAGGAGCTGTTCAGCGGGCCGTGGTGGATGGGCTGGCGGGCGAGCATCGACCTGGAGGGGAGCGAGATGAAGCCGTTTGGGAGGGGCAGTTCGTCCGGGAAGGACTCGTCTGGGAGGGAATCGGAAAAGGGGCCGTTTGCGCATGAGCGGAAGACGGATGTCTGATTACCTCGGTGTTTTGAGTATTTTTTTCCTTGTAGAAACGTTTATACCATTTCTAATTGATATCCCTTTTATGACTTCACCACATTTTTGGTACTTGTCTCATCTCCGGTGCTCAACCCGTTCAGTCGGAGCCGGACGGTGTGAAAGTGGGTCCCTGCGGTCGCTCAACGTCCGCGTCTCCCAGACAAGCGCTCAAGGTGTGATTGAAACCACTTGGCACACAGCAGATTGCATCCATCTTTGTCTCCATCTAAGCTGAACAGATCGTAACTGTGCTTGGGTTTTCGGTTTGGCCAGCTCATCTAGACACCTCGAAAAAAACATGCATAGCAGCGTGATCGCAAGGCCGTCTCCAAATTGGCCGAGGACACCAAACCTGACATTATTCCACTTTGCACGAATTGAACGTACGTATTTCAGCCCGGCTGCAGACACGAGGTTGACGCATAATTCGTGTCTCTTGGCGTTTCTCGCCCATGTCAAGGATACAAGAGAATTACTGCCCATAGAAACGTGTTGGTTCATATGAGCCAGGGTGTGACGCACTCTTATTTCAACGTCTTGTTACATTCTGCGTTTTAACTGACGTTATTTTGGGCGCGTTGGTGCTTATGTAGCTTACAGTCTTTATCCGGTGTCAGGGTTGTTCAATTCTGGTCAGTTTTCTTTGCGCCCACATTTTCTTGCTTTGAGAAGCGCATATAACTGCCAGCAATAAATGATTGGGCACGCTCATAGTCGCTCGCATCTCATTTCTTGAACGGTTTTTTTTTTTTTCTGTGTATCATCGCTAGTCTCTGACTATAATGCTGGACTGAGCGGAAGTTTCAATAATAACCTGCGCGTATACTTGAGGAGCATATTGGGTGCCGCTCATGGACACCGCTTCAACGCATGGAAGGTGCTCCACATAAAAACAGCTTAGAGAACGACGTGAGTAGCCTCTAATCATCGACGCGACCGCCGATTGAATACAAGTCTAGTTTGGAGCAGTCTGCTTTTATCCCCACACCTGCATCTTTCCATGCTTGCAAAACGACACACCCTAACTCCTAAACTACCGGAACCATCTCAAAACGGCCTGGAGTACGTAAAATCAAACTTCTTCTGCAACCCAGCCCGGTCCGCCATGCTCTTCGTCACAGCCTCGTCACGCTGCGCGCAGAACTCAGGCGCAGCCACCCGCGCCAGCCCAACCGCCCGCGCGCCCTTGACCAGCAGCGACGTATGCGGCTGCTGCCTCGTCGCGTACGCCCTGAAAGCCTGCGTAAGCACAGCCGTGCGCAGCTCTCTCGCCGCATCGAAATCCGGAATCTCCTTCGTGAGGTAGTAACAGTCCTCGCTATCTCCTGTCAGCCCCAGACCAACACAACGCCTGTTCGATTCAACTCACCAGGCCTGGTTCGCCCCCTGCCCGAGGTGCACACTCGTCGGATGCACCGCGTCCCCGACCATGACGCACCGGCCCGAGTACCACTGCTCCGGCTCGAGCTCGGGGCGGTCGTAGATGCCGTACTTGATGAGCCGCTCCGCCGAGGCGACCATTCCCAGCACGACGGGGTCCCAGTTCTTGGCCTGCAGCATCTCGGCCATCTTCTCCTTCTCGGCGGCGCGCTTCTCGTCGCTGAAGAGGCCCCAGGCGGCTTCCTCCTCGGTGTTGCCCGGGAGCGTCAGCCCCCAGGACGTCTTGTCGTGGGTGATGGGATAGCTGATGATGTGGCTGAGCTCGCCGTACCAGTTCCGCGCGCCGGGGGTGTTGCGGAATGCTTCGGGCGTGGGGGAGATGCCGGCGGTCTGTCTTGTGGTTAGTGTTCATGATATGAGGAGATAGGAGAGTCAGCTCACCTGCGTCAGTCCCGTGAATGATGGCGTCCCCTCTTCGATCCCCCCACGCGCTAGCAATAACCTCCTCGTCGCAGCCTTCAACCCATCACACCCCACCAGGAAACACCCCGTCTCCTGTCTTCCCCCATCAAAGAACGCAGTCACACTATCCTCCCCCTCTTGGATCTGCTCCAGCTTCCAGCCCTCCCGCACCTCCACCCCGCTCTCCACCGCCAACTCCCGCAACCACTCCGTGACCAGTGTCCGCTTGACGCCCACCGCCGGCTGCTCGTACCGCTTCGCAAACTCCGTCGGTACGTCGGAGCGGCCGAGGACCTCCCCGGACGCCTTGTAGTCGCACAGTTCGAGCACGGGCGGGCCGTTCTGGAGCAACCGATCGGGTACGGGCCCGATCAGGTTGAGCACCTTGAGCCCGTTGGGGCAGATCATCAGGGACGCGCCGACGTCCGCCGGCGCCGGGGAGCGCTCGAAGATGATGGGGGCGTAGCCTTTTTGCTTGAGGAGGCAGGCGACTACGGGCCCGGCCATGCCACAGCCTATGATGAGGACCTTGGGCGAAGACATGATGAATCGTGTCACTGAGTAAGTACGCGATGTTGGGGCCTGGATGTGGACTTTTGGACAAGGTCTCCTCGTGATACACCTCCGTTGTTGAGACAGAAGCTGCCCGGTCGGACAGACTACGTCAGACAAGGTTGTGGTCTGTTCTCCTCCCGCCCAGACGCTCGCTCCCGCGGTTTCTCGGAATCGGAAGAGGAGACTACGTCTACGTCTAAGGCTATGTCTACGTCACCTGACTCGCGAACACGGCGACTCCCCAACGCCCGTGAAACCCGCGGAAACCTACTCAGATAGCAGCACTACAGGCGGCCGGGTATAAGTACAAAGTTTTCAGGGTCCCCGCTTAGGTTGTCAGAGACGTGGCGGCGGGAAAGTTCTTCGCTGCATCAATCCGAACCGGCGGGTCAGACGTTCTGTATCGCCCTATACTAGTCGAGACAGTGCTCTGCCCGTCGTGCGCCTGGGCTGTAGCCTGCATGCGCTTGCGAGGCTAGACCAACGTCTAATCCGACTGCGTAGATTACTGATCCGAGTGCGCGGCTTCTAGTCGAAGCGCTAGGACTTCTGACATCGGGGCTTGTCCCGACATCCGGGCACACAAACTGTTAGTTTCTAATACGAAAAAAAGGCTTGTACCCGAGCTAACGCACGTGTGAATCGGAGATTGGATGCGAGATTGCTACGCTTCCCCCATGCTGCGGTTTAAACTTTCTGGCTCTGCATATCGTACAAGTGGGCGGCCGGCAACTTGGACAACTCCGACGAACACACAACTCCTGCGGACAGGTTCCCACCGCAACGCATCTCGTCGTTCATACCATGGACTTGTCCACAACACACACAAGCTTCGTGCCTGAAACCCGCCCGCTCCGCAGCTCCTCCAGCCCTTGCCCAACATCGTCGAGCGTCTCCCCCACGACACGGTACCGCAGCGGCCTCACCTCCCCCGCCCCCACGAGCGCGGCCACCTCCCTGGTCCACGCGGCCGCGAACTCCCGGTCCGCCGGGGACGCCCCGCACTTGTACGGCGCGACCCAATCAACGGTGGATCCGAAGGCGCTCATCGCGAAGACCCAGGACGGCCGGACCGCGCGGCGCGAGTGGCTTGCGATAGGGAAGCTGTCGAGCGCGACGTAGCGGCCGCCCGCGGCGCCGAGGGCCTCGTAGCAGATGCGCATGGAGTCTGGGGTGGTGATGCAGTCGGCGGCGTGGGCGAGGCGGTCGGCGGTGAGGGCGCGGATGTCGGCGGCGCAGGTCGGGGAGGTGTAGTCGAAGGCGGCGGCGGCGCCGGTGGATTTGACGAGGGGGAAGTTGTGCGGGGAGCAGGTGACGATGGGGATGAAGCCGCACCTGGGGAGGATTAGCTTGTTTGGTTGTGGGAGGAGTTGGAGAGGATGGCTTACTGTCTTAGTAGTTGGATCATGAAGAGGCCGGACGCGGTGCTGCCGCCGTATACCAAGACATGGCGATCGCCATCTGCGGGCGCGGTCTTGAGCTTCATGGTGTTGTGAAGGACCATGCCGCCTGTGAGGAGACCGCAGGGGAATGTTGCGGCCTCTTGGAAGGAGATGCTGTCTGGTATGCGGAAGAGCAGATGCTCCTCGGCGACGACGTACTCCGCGAACGCGCCTGTGGCTTCGTTGTTGTTGTTATATCCAAAGGCCACGCCGCATACTCGGTCTCCTGGGTGTATGTCTGAAGACACATTCGCGCCTTTTGAGATGACGATGCCGGCGAAGTCGAGGCCGGCCATTGAGCCTTGAGGCATGCCGGCCTGCACCATCTTCGCATCTGACGGGTTCAGGCCGACGCATGCTGTTTTGACGAGGAAATTTGTTGGTGATAGGTTTGGCGTTGTGACCGTGACTACATTTGCTGTTCCTGGCCCTTGGACGACTATTGCCCTCCTCAGTTTCGACGGTTGTGTCATGGTTTGTGACGATGACTTATCACAACTCGTTGCAACTGCTCAAGTGCCAATCGAATTCCAATAGTGATGCAGGTAAGGACAGACTTACACGAACTACTCGTCCGTTCTTCCCTCATCACGGATAAGAATTCCGTCGGGAGGCCTGTCTGAGCCGAATCGCCGTCGTGCTCCACAGTCCCTCCAGAACAACACTACGAGTCAGCAATCCTCCCTAAAGACTGACATGAAGTCGCCATCTGAACACGACGAAATAACAGCTCCGACGGCGAGTTTACAAGAGACCCCCTCGCATAATGAGACGAGCCTAGCCGCCCCCCGCTGACTCGTGGATTCATCCCCACCCGCGCTTCACTCTGTAGCCAACGAACGCACCTGGCCAGGTCCCCATTCTCTAAGGTTTGTCCCACCCCCTATTGATCTGGAAACCTTCAAAGTTGCATCTCAGCTGTACAGACTAGCAATTAGAGTTAGAGTCGGTTGTACCGGCGGGTTTCTTTCTCAATGCGCTTGTGGGGGTAACGACACGTACGCTGCAACATGGGACACTAAGTCGCGAGAACGATCGTCAATGATACTTTCAGGCGAAACCTTCCCATACTATTGGGACGAATAATATCGGATGGCAGGGTAAGGTGTGCAACGAGAGGGAGAAAACGTGCTCTAGACTTGCGCGTATTTGTTTCCTCTCTGGGGGCCAGGTGGCATTGTACAGGAAAAGAGAGTTTGGGCTGGACCCCTAGTCAGTAGAAGCTCACTATACATGGTAGCGGGCGATGAAGAGGGAGGTTAATTACCCCGTTTGATAAGATTACCAGAGAGCTGTCAGTCACCATACACCCAAGTTGATGTCCATCCGAAGGCCTTGCATCACTCGCGAACCTGCTTCTAAGTTTATTACTGACTTTCACACGGCCTTTGTTTACACGAAATAGAATATTGTGACAAAACATGTGAGTGCAATAGACAAACATACTCTCTGTAGACAACCTAACAAATCTAGCAGAACCATGGAGCCCATTGCAATCATTGGGCTGGCGCATCGCTTCCCAGGAGGCGCCAACACACCCGCCAAGCTCTGGGAGGTTCTCAACAGCAGACGAGACCTATCTCGAGAGCCAGACCCAGATCGTCTGAACCTCCAAAAGTTCCACAACACCAACGGCGAGCACCATGGCAGCTCGAACGTCACCAAGTCTTACTTCCTCGAGGAGGACCCGCGTCTCTTCGACACGACGTTTTTCAACGTCAGTCCTCTGGAAGCGGAAGCCATGGACCCGCAGCAGAGGCTCCTCCTGGAAACGGTCTACGAAGCCACAGAATCGGCCGGCACGCCCATTGAGAGGTTCCAGGGCTCGCGGTGTTCCGTGTTCGTGGGCGTGATGACGGGCGACTACGAGACGATCCAGTACCGCGACACGGAAGACCTGTCGCACTACACCGCCTCAGGCACGTCGCGCGCCATCCTAGCCAACCGCATTTCCTACTTTTTCGACCTTTCCGGATCGTCAATCTGCCTGGACACGGCCTGTTCGTCGTCGCTTGTCGCGATGCACCTCGCCGTCCAGGACCTCCGCAGCGGCGCGGCGGAGACGGCCGTCGTCGCCGGGACTAACCTCATCTTCGGGCCGGACATGTACATCAGCGAGTCGAAGCTGCGGATGCTCTCGCCGACGGGGAAGTGTCAGATGTGGGATGCCATGGCGGACGGGTATGCTAGGGGCGAGGGCGTGGCGGCCCTGCTGCTGAAGCCGCTGAGCAAGGCTTTGCGGGACAACGATCCCATTCAAGCTGTGATTCGCAACTCGGGTGTCAACTCTGATGGGCGAACGCCGGGGATCACGATGCCGAGCGCCATGGCGCAGGCGAGATTGACGACGGAGACGTACCGAGCCGCGGGACTGGATCCGTCAAAGGAGGAAGACAGGTGTCAATACTTTGAGGCGTATGTGCTGACTCGCTTCATGGGACGGTCTGATATCGCTAACATGTTTGGTAGACACGGCACCGGAACACAGGCTGGTGACCCTACAGAAGCCAGAGGCATTCTTGAGAGCTTCTTCGCAGACAAGGGTGCTGCAGACACAGAAGTGAGTCCCCTTTACGTGGGGTCGGTCAAAACAGTAGTTGGCCATCTGGAAGGCTGCGCCGGTTTGGCCGGCGTCATTAAAGTTCTTCTCGCAATGAAGCATGACACGATCCCTCCCAACCTACATCTCAGGTCCCTAAACCCAAAGATTCAGCCCTACCAGCGCGTTCTCAAAGTCCCCACAGAGCCTACTCCATGGCCCATGAGGGCCGATGGACAGCCGAAGCGAGCAAGTGTAAACAGCTTCGGATTTGGAGGGACGAATGCACACGTCATTCTGGAATCATACGAGCCTAAGCCAGAAATCAGGTCTTTCACATCTGGAGCGCTCCCTTTCACTACGCCTATTGTTGTCAGCGCTCACTCACAAACCTCTCTACTCGAAAACATCCGGCGACTAACCACATACATTCACAACAACCCGAACGTAAGCCTCGACGATATAGCATGGACGTTGTGGCAACGAAGAAGCGGTCTCGGGTTCCGGAAAGCATTCCATGCGACATCAAGAAAGGACCTTTTAGCAAGTCTCGAAAAAGCCATCGCAGACTCTGCCGGCGGGCAGCCTTCTTTGGGAACACCGGCCGCATCCCTAGTCTCCCCTTCCGAGGGTTTTGGAGTCTTGGGGGTTTTCACTGGACAAGGTGCACAATGGCCTGGGATGGGCAAGGATTTGCTGACACACAGTCCTGTATTCAGAATAGCCATCGAGGAGTGCGATGAATCTCTGTCAAAACTCCCAGATGCTCCATCATGGTCGCTGAAAAAAGAGCTGCTCGCCGACACATCGGAAAGCCGAATCTCTGAAGCCGAGATCGCGCAGCCCGCAACCACAGCAGTGGAAATCGGCCTGGCTCGGATGCTGCAAACTAGCGGAATCAAGTTCAGCGCTGTGGTCGGTCACTCGTCGGGCGAAATAGCTGCAATGTACGCGGCCGGCATTCTCTCCTTGTCCGACGCCATCCGCGTTGCCTTCTACCGAGGTGTCTACGCCAAGTTGGCAGGCAAAGGCTCCATGATGGCGGTAGGAATTAGCGGCGAAGCAGCGCAAGACTTCTGCCGCGAGGCACCATTCAAAGGCAGGATCTGTCTTGCGGCGAAGAACTCCCCTTCTAGCATCACACTCTCCGGCGACGTTGACGCCATCCAGAAAGCCAAGGAAGTTTTCGACAACAGGAAGATCTTTGCCCGCGTGCTGAAGACCGACAGGGCGTATCACTCGTCGCACATGGAGCCTTGTTCCGAGGCCTACCTCAAAGCGATGCGAAAATGTGGAATCTCGCCCCTGAAAACGGAGAGTAAATGTGTCTGGGTCTCAAGTGTAGATGGAACCGCGAGCCGATACTGGGATCAGAACTTTGACGATCTGAGCGGGCCTTACTGGATCGAAAACATGGTGAAGCCTGTGCTATTTGCAGATGCAGTCACAACAGCGCTGACCAACGGCGGTCCGTTCGACGTCGCGATCGAGGTTGGACCGCACCCTGCGCTGAAAGGGCCGGTGAACCAGACTGTACGACCGCATCTGGGGAAGCAACTCCCGTACTGCGGCAGCATTAACCGAGGTGAGGATTGTGTTGTCAGCATGATGCAGCTGCAAGGTTTCTTATGGTCTCACTTTGGTGCGCAAGTGCTTGACTTGAACCAATATCAACGCTGCTGGCATGACGAAGTTCCAACGCACAAGGTTGTCGACAATCTCCCCACCTATTCTTGGGACCATGGCGCACCCATATGGCGTGAGTCAAGGCTCTCGCGCAATCACCGACTACGCTCCAGTGGAAACGAGAGCATCTTGCTGGGCCACCGGCGCCCCGATGACTCGGATTGGGAACCGCGTTGGCGCAACTTCCTGAGTCTGAAGGAGCTCCCGTGGCTGCGGGGTCATTCGTTCCAGGGAGAGGTGCTATTCCCCTCGGCTGGATACATCGCGATGATGCTCGAGGTGGCGCAGTTCCTCAGCGGCGACAAGCACATGTCGCTGATTGAGATCAAGAATCTCACCCTCGAGCGGCCACTCAAGGTAGAGGAGGGGCCCAGACCAGTCGAGATGCTGACATCGGTCAATGTTTGTTTGTTTGTTTTGTTTGTTTAATATTTAACGCCATGGCGGCAAGGGCGCGGCCGCCCTTGCGGCAGACCTCCCGAAGGGTATGTGGCGTGGAGGGCCGCAGGCTCTAGCTATATACTCTGTAGTACACGCCTCTTCCTA